CGTGCCCGCCGGCTCTGCCGGCAGCCAGCTGTGCCAGAGTGAACTGAGCCGCAGGCCCAGAGGCCCGAGGGCCCCCTTTGCCCCGGAAGAGGCCTGACCGAGCAACAGGCACCAGGCCCCGCCAAGTAGTCACTGGGAGTGAGCTGGTACATGCCTGAGCGCTCAGCCCCGGACACCAAGAACCACCAACGCACCGACCCCTGAGGGCATCAGTTACCAGTTGCCTCCCCTGCACCCTGGTGACACACCCGCACCCCAAGGCCCTACTTGTGTGGGTGGGTGTGTTGGAGCGGGAAGAGGGAGGCAGCCGGGGATGGGGAGGAAAAGAAGGGAGGAGCAAGATGCCCCTCCCTGGGGCCAGCTCCCCCGCTCACCTGCAGAGTGGACTCCTGCAAGGATGGAACAAACTCCCTGTCAGTTGAAGAGCCCCTTAGTTAGGCCGATGTGCCAGAGGCCCCCTGCGCCAGGGCTGAGCCCCCATGCACCCACCCGCCCACAACCTTGGCTACACACCAACAAGGACCGAAGCCCCCAAGGCCCAACCAGAGCTCTAGCACGGAGGCGAAGCATCCCCGAACCCCAAGCCCCCACGCCTGCCCCGAATCCACTCAGGGGCAGCCAGGCTACCAGGCCAGTAACCTACGTCCGCCAGCACAGACCCTCCCCCAGGCCTGCTGCACGCAGCCACAAGGAGAACACCCTCTAAGAGCAACCAGTGCCACTAACCCCAACCCCTGTGTTAAGCCCTCCAGGGATAACGTCCCTAGGGAGTCTCCAGACGCCCTAAGCCCGTCCCAACCTCCACATCAACCACACTGGCGACCCACCCCCACTAGGTGATGGAGCTGATCAAAGGAGCCCAGAGGGATTGATCTAATGTGGTGGCAGAGGCTGTATCGAGGCTAATGTGATCTATATTATGGTTTCTATATTGGCTAGTATTAAGATTATTTTTATTTTTCCAGTTCATGAGGACCGTTTTCTTGGCAATGCATAGGGCAGTAAAAACCAT